AAGCTATTTCACACACACACACACACACACACACACACAGTTTGTGATAAATAAACATTCTTGCATCATGGTAAGTATAGAAAGTATATTTTTATTTTTTACTGTATAGTTAGGAAACTAGAGGCCAAAATATAGAACCGTAAAACAGTTTGGTTTTCCATAAGCAACCGAAATCCCCCACATGAACAGAAACCTGTTGTATAACCAAAGTGTGTTAAGAAAGCTAATCCCAATGTGCTTATCCCTGCTTCATGCGTTCACCATTTCAGCAAACAAGAGACTAAACTGTTCACCTTCTAGAATTCTGGATGTTGAAACAGAAAAAGCGCTTTAGGTCTTTAATTGACAACCTTGTGACAAACTTACAACAATGTTTGTGCTCCATGAGAAGAAAATCTGAATGGATAATTGTATAGCAATATCTGCACATTGACATAATGACAGAATATGTTAAAATCTATGTGTTTTTTGAATGAATATGTTATTTGATGGAAATCCATCCAATAATGGTTGTAGGGTTAAAGCCCAAATGGGGTGATTCTTGATCACTATTGCATTTTACTTGCAATAGTAAAATACAATATCAATAATTTAGAATAAGAAAGCATATGCTAAATAAAGAATAAGATGGGATATTTACCCAAAAGTGTCCATCTTGCTGTCTTTCTGCTCCAGACTGACAGAATTCAAAGCCTGTGACAAATCGTCCTCCATCTTCTCCAACCTGTCAAACATACGAGCACATGCTTTTCTCAGGAACCTGCTTTGATGTGCATCAAAATTCAGCGTAATAAAACCACTAATATTCTCTTTCAAAGCTCAGAATCGGTGCTGTTAATGCAACACGTGTAAGACAAGCCATAATGTGTATATATAATAATAAAAATACAAATTTTAAGTATAGAGTATGACGTCAGGATTATAGCCAGTGTCAAAATAATGTTGCATGAAATGCTCTCAGTACAGATTAAGGCAACACTTATCATATCACAGTAACTGTTACATGCTGAAATGACAAAAATTATGGAACGTATTAATGAGAAAATCTAGGATGAATATGTTTGAAACAGTATTCAAACTACCTGCTAAACCTCGTTGTCTTCGCTTCCGCAGTCTCAAAGTATCTGTGGTGTTAAACAATTAGTGGAGACAAAAATATCCCGTAACATTACGAGCTGTGCACTGTATTTACATGAGAGAGGGAGTGTGAATCTACACGCAAACTTACTTCACTCAACAGAACAGTACATGGCTGCTGGAAACAAAATAAAAGTCCTAGGGGCGCTACCACAGTCTATGGGCGCTACTCATGGGAGCTACTACAGGTTTTACTTAAGATAAAATGAAACGTTTACCACATATAAAAATAAATATTTTATACTCTCCCTTTGACTTTTTAAATGATATATTTAGCGTAATTTCATTAAAAATGCCTATTTGCAACAAAATAAATTTGTACTCGACAGAAAATTACACAACTTGCATTTTGTTATGCACAATACATTGAATAATAAACATGCTTCATTCATTCATTCATTCATTCATTTACTCATCCATTCGTTTATTTAAAATTAAAATCATTTTAAATAATTTAATATATACAATGTAATTAAACTTAATCTTAAAATAAAATACAGATAACATTTTTTTAGTAGGCTAACAATTTTGTTTAATTGGCTACTTAATAAAATTAACTGTTGCTCATTATTTTGGTCATTATTCAACCTCATAGAGGAAATGTAGAGGAACGGTATGAAAACAAACCACTAAATCACACAGATGGTGTCAGAGTAACACCAGTAGCTAAATCGGCCAATAACCAGACAAACAATCCGACTGAATTTGCTTTTTTACCTGTTGGAAGTCATAAAAAAAAACAAAAACAAACAAACAAACAAACAAACACTAGCTTTCTATTATATCTACTTGTTTTTCTTTGTGTGTGTGTGTGTGTGTGTGTGTGTGAGACTCAACAGGATGTGAATCCAGATTGTGGAGAACTGGATCCTTCAACACAAGTACAGACAGACACTAATGTGAAAGAAGTTACCAACACATGTTCCATTGAGAACACAAGCCAAACAGAGAGAGAATGTGTCATTGGAAAGTTGGCCATCACTAGTACTTCATTTATTGGGCCTGTGTGTCGCCCGGAGCCATCCATCGAGCAGGAGCTTTGTGAATTTTACAAAGAGCTTGAGGAAGTTGATAAGGTTGACATCAATGCGGAAACCAAAACGGTTGAACAGCATGGCCTCTATCCTTCTAGCAAGCCCGAAAGCGATCAACCAAACAGTACAGACATTCCTGTTGTAACTGATCACGGCAGAGCCTACAGACCTTACCCAGATCCACATGAATGCAACCAAAAAGATCCAAAAAGATGGAGACCTCGCTTACAGTGTAATATGGATGACTTTGGTAGAGGAGGATATCCAGAGCTGTGGTATCCTCCTCCACCATGGGTTCCTCCAGACCCAAGGGTGCACTTCTTCCCTCCCCCAACCTCTGGAGGTGCTATCATGTATCCTCCAGACATGAGACCTCAGGAGAACGTCTTCCACAGTTTTCATGCCAACAACAACAGCTGGGGTCCATCAGAAGGACCACCATTACCTTTGAACAGGTGGCATGAACAAAACAGGGTTTTCCAGTCACATGAGCATCCTGGATTCTCTGAGGAATATCAAACATCTTCAGCACACTGGCAGCAGCATTATCACTTAAAAGACCAATATCAGCATTATAATAACACTGCTTTGGTGCTCATATTGTTGAGGGGAGTCCCAGGATCTGGAAAATCCACTTTGGCCAGGTGAGCAAAACGAACTATGTAGAGAAATGACCTCATTGATGTTTTTGCACCAAACCAGTGGTCAAATGTTTGATTAAATACTAAAGACATATTATAAGCAAAACTTGCACTGATTGGTTAAGTTGTACTAGAATTATCCCAACGGCATGTTTTTATTAGTTTAGGTAAGCAGAGAAAAAGAGATGTTCTAATATTTGACTGTATGTCTCAGAGAGCTCCTGTCCACTGGTCCCAATGGAGTAAAACTGAGCACAGATGACTACTTTTTCCAAGACAACAGATATGAATTTGATTCCGCTCTGCTTAGTGATGAGCACGACTGGAACCAGAAGAGTAACCATAACCGCCCGTTATCATCGACAACACTAATGTTAAAGCCTGGGAAATGAAGCCTTGTGTTCAAATGGTGAGTTGGCATCTTTAAGCAATGCCTGGGATTGGAATATTTTTGTAAAATGCAAGTTAGGCCTTAACTTGGCTCTGAACACTGGCTGAAAGTTTTATTAGCAGTGCTTTAGAACATTTCTATATGTCTGCATTCAGAGATTTTGTATTGCAATACAAGGATTTCTCCAGCTATTTGCTAAATGAACTATATCTGCTTACTAATTAGTAACACATTTTTATTCATTTACTTTATTTTATACAGGCTTTAGACAACGGACACAGAGAGGACTTTCTTGAGCCAGATACCCGCTGGAAATATGATCCTGCCCAGTTAGAAAAGTAAGTCTGTTTATAGTTTTGGTTCTCAGGAACACAGTGACTTTTATTAATCACTGAATGAGAAAGACTATTGACTTTGGATCAGGTTTGGCTTATAGTACAGAGGTAGAGATTTCAGCTGTAAGTGGAAAAAATGTTTTATAGTCTAGGATCAGTAAGTATCTTTTATATTCCCATGAATAAGACCAGCTAACTAAGAGCCATTGTTATTTTCATTTATTTGTTTTATTTACAACTGGCTTTGTATAGCAGTCTAATAGAGCTTGGCTGTCCTAGTAATTTCCTGTCTATTAATTTAATCAACAGGAGGAACAAGCACGGAGTCCCTCGAGAAACAATAGCAAAGTTGCTGGATGGTTTCGAGCGGCCGGTGAATGTTGACATTGTGATGAATTCTGTGGTG